ATTTCTGTGTCTCTTAAATGATTATATTTAATATTTTTTTTTATTTTTTCCCACAAGTTTTTTTTTATTTCCGTGTGTAGCTTTTAAATTTTTCTGTCTCCTGTTTTTACTTTACCTTCCTGTCTTTTGACCAATTATGAGGACTGATTTATTTTGTTGTTGTTTTTTTACATAAATGTAGCACAAAGCTGTGCTAGTGTAGAATGAATTCAGAAAAAAACACAACAATTATCAATCAAAAGTTACATTTCTGAGAAGGAAAAATGAAAAGGTTTAAGCAGTTCTAGCTAGAGGAGGGCTACAGACTAATTCCTGGCTTGGAGGAGTGTAATAAGCCCGTACTGAGAGCACATGGGTGTGTTGTTTCCTGCAGCTGGTGGTGGGTGTGATGCAGAGCCACCCTGAGTCGCTACAGGTCCATCTGGTGGCCACAGCGTGCATCTTTAACCTGACCAATCAGGGGCTCGCAGAGGCCATGCCCGTCAGCCTGATCAGTTCCACTGTCAGCCAGCTGCTGCACGCCATGAAGACCTTCCCCAACCACCAGCAGGTCAGAGACCAGGTCTTTAGACTCACCATGATCTCATGAGGTTTTTATGGTTGTTAGCTGTGTTTTCATTCTGCACCATCTCAACCTTTGCTTTGTTTGGCTGAAGGTCAAACTTGTCTTTTTTCAGGAAGAATTTGGACAAAATGTGAAAGTAAAGCAGTAATGTAAAACACAGGCAATTAAATTTGGGTTTGTGTGTCTGTCTGTTAGCAAAATATCTCATGATTCAGTGAAAAAATGGTAATAGTAGGCAATATACATTGCCTGGCCAAAAATAAAAAAAAGTTTCCACCTGAATTTAACTAAGCAGATAGGTCTGAGCCTCCTATTGGATGATTACTGCATGTTTCAGCTGGAAACAAGTTATTGAGCCACAACTGTGAGTTGATTATTACTTAAGCAAACATTTGGAAAGACACATCCTGTGGTCATGGAGAAGATGTCAGTCTGTTTGAGAAGGGTCAAATCATTGGTCAACTGGGAAAAAAGGGTTGTTTGTTATGCAGCATAAAGTTTGGGCTCTGGAACAATGGAAGAAGGTCATGTGGTCTGATGAGTCCAGATTGACCCTGTTCCAGAGTGACGGGTGCATCGGGGTAAGAAGAGAGGCAGGTGAAGTGATGCTGTACAGCCTGTGGGGGCAGTGCTGCTGCAGGTGGTCAGGTCCAGGTTCAGCAACAGTTTGTGCTCAAAGAATGAGGTCAGCTGACCTGAATATACCGAATGACCAGGTTATTCCATCAATGATTGTTTCTTCCCTGATGACACGGCCATATTCCAAGACGACAATGCCAGGATTCATGGGGCTCTTATTGTGAAAGAGTGGTTCAGGGAGCATGAGACATCATTTTCACACATGGTTTGGCTCCACAGAGTCCATGGAGAGTCTTTGGGATGTGCTGGAGAAGGTCAGACTCTACCATCATCAATGAAAGATCTTGGCGAAACATTAATGCAACACTGGATGAAATAAATCTTTTGATGTTGCACAAGCTTATCCAAACAATGCCACAGAGAATGTGTCGTAATCAAAGCTAAAGGTGGTCCAACAAATATTACAGTGACTTTTTTATTTTTATTTTTTGGCTAAGCTGTATATGTAGATCAACAACTAATTACTTTTTAGAGCTTCCAGATTCAGGTTGACGGCCAAAGTTAATAAAACTTTACAAAAGCTAAAAACTCGAACTCGTTTAATTAGACAAAGATTAAGTGAAACTGTGATGTGGTAGTAGCTGAGATTCATCTTTAACATATACGCTGAGCCAGAGAGTGCTACACTTTCTGCTGCATCATTTTGGTTCAAAAAATGTATTTATTGGTTGTTTGTCTACAACTGATTCACCTTTAGAATCAACTCAGCACAAGATGACCGATTCAGCTGGTCAACCTGGTTGTAACTCAATTAATCTGACAAATAATGAGCTAAAAATTGAAGCAGTAACTGAGACTCAGCCTAGGCCTTGATATGTTTTATAGTAATCCATGAACTGTTTGAATTCCTCCAGCTGCAGAAGAACTGTCTCCTTGCTCTCTGTAGTGACTACATCCTTCAGGATGTTCCTTTTGACAAGTTAGTGTATTTTCTCTCCAGTAGTTTAAAGTCAGTATGAAGTGTGCTGATCAGTTTGTAGCTTTGTTTTGACTCAAATGGGTTTTGTTTTCGTAAACCACTGTGATGCTGACTCAGGTATTTAGCAGCCATGTTGGTGATTAACTGGCTGAGCAACCACGAAGAGCCGACCATGCAGAGGATGGCGGTGGCTGTTGTCTCCATTCTGGTGGCAAAGGTGAAGATTCTGCTCACTCCTTTTCAAATAAAAGCAGCTGGATTTCTGAAACCCACAACTAACTTTCTTTTCAATAGTTTAATTTGGAGATTATATGGAAGTATTTTCAAATAGTTACACATTTTTAAAGGAGTTCACTAAATCTAACTTGTTTTTATGTGCAGTTGTCCACAGAGGAGATGGCACAGCTCAGCAAGGACATCTTGTTTATGAAGGTACAGATTTTCTATTGGACCACTTTAGAGCACTTTGTTATTCCTTTAAAGGGGGACATATCCTGCAAACTCCAATTTTTTAACTGTTAAATACATTTTGTTGTGTACTTGGAATCTCTATGAGTGCAGAAAATATTAATTTAATCTCTCCTGGTGCTGCAAAAATATCTTACTATTCTGCTTGGGTCAGATTTTTCAGTGTATTCAGATTGTTTTCTGAACTATTACGTCAAATCATCTGCGGTGGAATTGCCAAATTAGGCCTGAACTTACCAACTACAATTTCCTCATCTTCATTCTGCTGTGGTTCTGGGTCAGACTCTGGTTCTGGGTAAGACTCTACAGTAGTTCTGGGTCAGACTCTGGCTCCAACGTGTAAGGCTGGATGGACAAGTCTTCTGTTTGCATATGAAATGCAAACAACTATATGGGTTCAAACAAACTTTAAAAGTTTTGTCCAAATTAGCCTGAAAATCATCCCTGGTCACTTTTGTTGTGATTGGAAAAATGTTCCTCACTTCCTAATCATTAGCTTCTTAGACGAATTTCTCATCAACAAATGCAGAAACTAAATAAGATTCCAGAAGTTTGAGTATCAGAACTGTTTGTTATACATCACAGACGTTATTTTGTGAAAACGAATGCTGTAGGTCAAATGTATGATTTTTAATATTTTTAAAGGATGTTATGTACAAGCCCCACCCACTTTTACCAATCATTACCATACTGTACAAACTCACTCAGTTTGTGGTCATTAGTAAGTGTAATAAATTTCATGTCAATTGGTCTTACTGTTTATGAGATATAAACATGATGCATTTCTGGCGCCCCCTAGAGTTTGGTTGAAATGAAACTTTGAATACATTCTCAGAAATATTAATTGGGCATAGGGTATGAGTTTGGTGTTAATATATGTTAATGTACATAAATGACTGTCATTTTTGTTAATGCTAACAAGTTAGCTTTGTATAAAAAATGAACATAAATTGGTTATGCAAAAACCAAACCACTTTTCCTGAACAACGTTTGTAGAGCCACTACACTAGGTGTTATACGGGTAGTATTATGCTTAAAAGAGTTGCGCCTTTGGAGGAGATCATTTTTAAAGGTTTATCATATTATGCCAATTTGCATAAAGAACAATGCATTTTTTAAACAAACATATACATACATACATACATAC